ACCGATCTGGATTGGATTAATGATGTTGCATGCTCTACTATTGGTAGAGCATGTAACGTCAACCAATAGTAGAGCATGTCATTAATTCAAGTCGATTTAAACCCGCTACGATTGAAAAAGCTATTAATTTCATCGGCAATAAACCTAGATTGGATTAGGAGCATTTCTTTGAAGCTCGCTCTAAAACTTCATTGAGAAAGGCTGTAAGAGCATCACGAAAAACTTTCCCTTTGTTTAATATAGCAACTCTTCGCCGCTCTTTTACGAAGGAATGACGTTATGTTCAACAGATGTCGAGGTAACGATTCGAAGGGGTAGGCAAAAGCGACAATATAGAAGGAAGACAAATGTGTCACGAGGGTCGATAACCAGGCTAGAGATCACCGGCGCGGAATTCTGCGCGGAATTACAACTACGGAAAATGTATCTTTGCGACAAACAGTTACATAAATTCTCCAAATCATTCAGGATTTTTTTTCTTAGCGCAAAGAATATTTCAATGAAATATTCTACTTGGTTTGAGTGATAATTGATTTATGAGAAAATTCTGTAATATTTACAAATCACGTTTTGAACGATATACTCTTACATTGAAAAAAATAAATTTTAATAAACACTTGATCGAGTAATTCTAATTGTAAATATTTATTAAATGTAAAAACATGTTTATTTTATATAAAAACAATTAATTTGTTTAATTTAATTATTATTTTTTATTGATCTAATTAAGTAAGAGAATTCTTATATCGATCAAGACAGAACTTAGTGCTTAAACATTTCTGTATAAATATATCTGATTATATATATATATATATATGTATAGATATATAAATATATCTGATTCTGTATTAAAATCTAGTAATTTTTTTTCAGTGTACAATAAAGTTTTAATTCGAGGATTAATTGCAATATATTGAATTTATTTAAGTTGACAGAAAATAACTGTAAAAAATGTCAATCATAATTTTCTGTTGAAAACAGACCGTCAAGCAGTCGAAAGGAAGTGGGATATACATGATACCTTCGTTTATGTGAATCGGTACTTCTAGCCTGCTTGCTCAATATTGCGAGAAGAGAAAATTCGTTTCGAGTTTCGTAGACAGACCTGGTTTTCTACCACAGTATCTTCAATGTAAGACACGTAAAGATTCAAATCATCGTCCGCTAGAATCTCGCGGCTGGAAACGTTCCGTATGTGTTACAGCTCGCCGTGATAATGAAAATGTGAGAAGCCCGTTAACCCGCCGCTCCTAAGCTAACGACCACACAGCAGCCGACAATGAAGATACAAAAGCGAAGCGGCGAACGAATTCTCAATTGGCCATTATTCCGATCATTAGCGATGATTTTCGCTCACAATATCATCTTAATGAATCGCGATAATTAAGTGAACCGGGAGCGAGGGACACGTTATCTCGCTGGGAAGAATTTCAACTTTCGCGCGAGAAAGCATCGTCGACGACAACGGCGAGCAAACAATCGATTTTCGCGACGATTGGCGAGGGAGAGAAAGAGGATTTTACGATTCCATCTATCTTCAAATCAGCGAGACAATGACTGACGGTGGAAAAAGCAAAAAAACTGATGGAATGGTCCCCCTCGATGACTTCGACGTGCCGATTATTGCATCGCGTTTCTCAGAAACTGAAACAAGCGTAACAATTCCGACGAAATGGATGGAACTTTCGTCTAAGAGCGTTTTCTTACCTCGTCTCGGAAGCGGGATGCCCTGCTTTCTATATCAATAAAATCGCACAGCGGAAAGAAAACGACCGATCGCTATAGCGTTCTCGGAGGGAACGTATCGCAAATAGACGGTACTCCGAAATTACTGCATTAAATTCCCGCTTGCAATTAATCCCCCGATTAAAAATGAGCATCTATCTCGGCATGCCATCTTCTACTTATTTTTTACGAAAATCGCGGACATGTAGAAGCGTAGTCTGGATAGAGAGATCAATTAAATCTAATGCCAAGATTGCTCCTCGGGAAGTAAAAACACGCCTCGCGATTAAAAGCATCTCGAGACTCCTTCAAGCGTGGTTGAAACTTGATATTGCAAGAAGCATAACAAGCGAATATTTGTGCAAGCATTGAGGATGTAATATCATGTTTTTCTTCCCAATCGTCGATTCAGAAACACAAACATATGCAAAAGGGTTATTATTTTCATTTGTATTTTCATACACTGAGAAAAAAATTATTCATTGACTAAATTAATTTTATCAAATTAGCAATGTTTTTTTTGTGTATTTTCATCAAATGTTTATTTCAATCTTAACCTGTATTTTATTAATAAAATACCGATGCATTCTGTCTTATCATATCAATCACATACAGAAAAACATCATTTTATTACTAAGAAAAGTGACTCAATTTACTTTATTTCTTTCTCGGTTAATTTCAACATAGATATTTTCTTGATAATAAATCTTAATCATTTCTTATTTCTATTTTAATTTATTTTATTGTTTAATTAAATCTTAAAATATACTTATTGCAAATTTAAAAAAAATCTATATATTATCAATATATACTCAAAACAGAGAATTTATTTTCTTTTAAAGAATATTATAAAATATTATAAAATTGACTGAAGAAGCGGTTCTATACATATAATAAGTAAATCGAATTTATTTTAATTTGATGATCCTGATAGAAGTATTAAATTTACTTATAGGATTCAGAATATTTTGAATAAATTTAATATTTGCGATGAATTTATAACAAATTTGCGGATGTACGAATTTGTAAAATATTTGAAAGTATTATGATTTGTGCATACAGTATATTTTTCTGTGTATAGAATTTCGATCATATGATTGGACATCTAGTTATCTCGACCAGAATTCTGATAGATTTCAAGACATAGTTCAACAAAATTACTTTCGGATCTGTATAAATAGCTAAATTTTTAGATATATATACTTCTGATTTGTTCATTTCCCATCAAAATTCCAATTAATGCAAGTAGACTCTTTTTCCAGTATATCATTACGATTTTTTTTTCAACTTTTTAATTGTAATTCTCAAAAGAAATTTACAGAACAAAATTCTCCATTTTTCATTGGGTTTACACCTAGGTCGAAGGCACAGCTTCGAAAGTTGACAGCAGCCGCCATTTTGAAGCGGGAGGCCGTCTTTATGCGTGCATTTTTATCGTACGTCGCAGCAAGATAATTACGCTTACGATGTCGCGATGCGCACTCGAGCACGTACGCCGAGATTATACCTCGACTGGAAGAACATACGGACAATCCTAGAGAGAACGAAATCGTTCGAAGAGAGAGTTGTTAAATATAGCATAAAAATTGCTACCAATTTCTCGCGACAGAGCGTCTCTTTTTATAACCCCCATCATTCGTGAAATTTGTTTGCGTCTCGGTGCGTCTATTCAAGTCGATTCTCGCGGAGTTTAATTCAAAGACAATCGCGAGATAATTCAGGGACGTAAACAGGCTCCTACTCGAGTCCGCGTTTGAAAGATCAGAACGCGTTATATGAGCGTTGCATTTCCTTCATCCACACTCTGGTTCCCGTTGAACCAGAAACCCTCTAACATAGTCTGGTCACGGATAATTTTGTCAAAACAAGAGTGAAAAAAAGGAGTGATACATGTAAAATTTTTACAGTAAATTTAGGATAAACTTCTATAATAAACATTAAAACTTTTAGAATTAACTGTCACCCTAAAAAGTGAAATTTCACTCTTAACGATTGAAAACTGAGTCATCCTTTTTCAAGAACGACTCAATTTTTATCCTTTGGAGTGAGATTCCATTCCAAAGAATTTAGAGAGTACTGTTTCTCTTTATGTATGCTGTTTCATTCTAACTTAATAAAGTTAACAAAAATGACGGGCTAATGAAAAGTTGTTCGTCATCTCATGGCCAGATTCTGTTAGGTTTCTACGCCGCGCGTGTTCATTGCATCTCGAGGCAGACGACGTAAATCATCCCCCCGGTCGCGTCGTAGCGTTCCGTGCGGCCGACATTACCAGCCGCGCGGATTAAATCGCGACGCCATGTCGCCGATTGCGATGGTCGAGGACGGGGGATTTAAATCGCCACTCGACGACGATCCTGCTCGCTCTAATCGTCAGGCTAGGAGACGCGATCGGCGCGATTGCGCTTATCTACGACTGATCGGCCTCGCAAAAAGTACAGTTCAATTGCCGAATTGCGAATCCGTGAATTATTGACTTCTGCTTAGTACTGTATAGCGAAATTGGCTGCATTTAGCGGAAAAAGCTTTGCAACTTATATAAATTCTTTAACGTGATTTATTTACTCTCTAAATTCTTTGGAATGAAATCTCACACTAAGGAGGGATTGAACCAATCTTCAATCAAAAGGAATGGCTCAATTTCCAATCTTTAAGGGTGAAATTTTACTCTTCAGAGAGTTGGAGATTTGTGATTTATGGGCTTTTACAGCAAATTATTATCTAAACTGTAAGTCTTAAAAAATTGATCGATCACAGTCGAACGTGAGAAGAGTAATCGACTATTATTTGTCAATCTCTTACGGTTTAAAGCTTAAATAATGGCTTATTATGGAAAGTTCATTAGAGATACATTCACATGAGCAATCAAGAGCAAAATCAATCATGTCAAAGAGTTTCACAATAATTGCAAAGTTGCATTTTACTGAATGGAGTCATTTCTTCTTTCTCCGAAGACAGGATAATTTTGTACGGTATTTATTCTACATTTGGAAAGCTCTTGGATTCTGAGGGATCGAGTGCGCGCGCGGTTCGAGTAGAAAGAGAGAAAGAGAGAGAAGCGACAGTCAGAGAGACTAGAATAAAGGCAATCGATCCTCCCTCACTGGGCACGCAGAGAGACCGTTGAACGAACGAACGGATAGACACGCACGCACGCGAGAAAGAAAATGCGAGGGGACCAATTTGGCTTACGTATAATCGGGGGAAAAAAAGAGGGAGAGAAGAAAGGGAGAGAGAGAGAGAGAGAAAAAAAAAAAATACTTGGTGACACTCACCTCGTACTTGATGCCATTCAACCGCAACCACGTCTCCACCTTGAGACCATACGGGGATAAGGACGGGAGCAGCGGCGTCCGCGGGAACTGATATAGATAAACAACGTCCTTCTCGTAGTCAGGGTGGTGCACGGTGCTGGCCTTCGCCGGCGCCGTGGCCGCGCCGGCAGCGGCGGCGGCGTCATCGTCCTTCTTGCCGGCCGCCTCGTCCTTCTTCGCCGCCGCGTCCTTCTCTTCCTGCTTGTTGTCCGGCGGCGCGTCGTCCTTAAGCGCCTCTTTCATCTCCTTCACGTCCTTGATCTCCTTGCTCTCGGGCCCGTTGTTCTCCGTCTCGGTTGCCATCGTCATTGTCGTTGAACGGCTACGCGTTTACGTTTCTCCAAAACTCTCGTTCTCGTCGTCGTCCCCTTTACCGTCCGGCCGGAGGGGAGGAGGGGGATGGGGGGGATGGGGACTACAGTCGCGTGCTTCTCTACTTCAAAACTCGTGCCTCCCTCGTCCTGAGAATCGCCGCCTCCGCTCGATCGCGCGTGCACTCTCCGATCTCGAGCCTATCTCGACGGTAGCGCGCACCACACAAACCGTACGCCAAGCACTCGTCGCTCGTCGCCGCTTTCTGCTCGCCGGCCGGTTCCTTCCTTCTCGCCGCCGCTCGCTACCTCGCTTCGTGCAGTCCGTTCTCCCCTTACCGCGCGCGCGCGTGCAGTGACGGCGCGCATGCGCAAGCGCCACACCCCGCCGTGGTCGACATATTTAATTGGTCGGCCACCCCTGCCTTGCGTGCGCGCGACGAACACGAACGAAGGGAGAGAAAGAGCGCGCGAGTGTCTTCCCTTTCCCCTCGTTTTCCGTGTCTTGGAATACTCCAGGAAAGTCGCGGCAACGTCGCCGCCATCGCCGTTGCAGCGGCTAGCGATGGCTTCGAGCAGGGCCGAGGGCATCGATACCTTCCGCTTGAAAGGGACGGTGCGCGCAGGGCCGTTTTTAGGGATGTGGATGTCCATGTGTAAAAAAATGTACTCGATGAAAACATCCTAAGACAAAGAATGGTAGGCACTAATAAATTTTAAGCATCTCAGGCGACACAAACTGAAAATAATAACGTCTATTGATTGGTTCGCGTTGCTTGAAGTCCTTAAAAATTTTTACATTTAAAACGAGATAAATATAGATATATAGGTGATGGGAAGAAAGAAAACGAAGATACCGAGTGTAAAAAGTACAAGCATAGCGAGTAGACCTAATGTTAACTTCCGCACTCAACGGTGGAAATAATGTAAAATGTTTGATTTTTTTATTTCTGCACTAAACCGCATTAGAAATTTCTTATTCGCTTTCGCTATGATGGCAAACATATATTTACATTTCAAAACTATACTAATTCAGCCACAAACTTGTAATGTAATATATATATATATATATGATGTTACGTAGCAAACATTGATATTATTGTTACAACATTGATACCGTTATGTTATTTTTAATTGACGTCGACTGGGATGCTTCACTTTGTTCTAACGTGATATATAATAACAATAGAAAACCAGCTTTGAACTGTTGTAAGATTCTTTAATATGATTGGTTTATACATTTGGATTCAGAGAGAATCATTAAGAGAAAAAAATTCAAATCATATAAAAGAATCTTTCAAAAGTTACTTTTTGTGCTGTGAACACTGTTATTATTGGTTGCATCGATGACTTGAGTTTTATTGTAATTTTTGAAGGATCGCTTTTGAGCATTTTGATATATGTTCTGCCTTTATTATCTTCGTTGCCCGAAATAGAAAGTAAAGGAAAAAAAAACACAAAAAACTTAGGGTCTGGTTTATCCAGACAACCATATACGCATACATAAAGAAAATCATCCAGTTTACTGCTTACATAAAAAAAATTATTGCATTTCACGTGCGTCTTTATAATACAAATACGATTAGATGATCTTTTTATGCATTAATTTAATTTTTTAAAAGAAAAAGATGAAGAGTAAGTTAAGCAAGATTAAAGTTAATCTACATTGATAAAAATAGGTATTAAACAGTAAAACGCAAGTAAAAGAAATTAACATAAAGGAAGCAACTTTTATTACGTTATTTATGTGCCTTATATCTTTGTGATTAATACCGATTTGTTTACTGCCTCAGTTTTTTTATATGTCACAAAACTTTTATGTTTTGTTTCTTATGCTATTTCGGGCAACAAAAGCAATAAAGGCGCGACGTATAAAACGCATATTTCTCAAAAAGTACAATAAAATTCAAATCATCGAAATAATGCTAAAAATTGACATTGGCTGCGTTCAGAGAAAGTAGCTTTGCAATTGTAAAATTTTTTAATGTGGTTGGTCTTGCCAATCCTAGTTGATTTCTGTTAATTTCTTATACTTAATCTAAATGTATAAACCAATATTAAAGAATTTTATACAACAGTTACAAATATCATACTGCAGATTATTCCAGTAATATAGCAGCAACATTGCAATGTTGCAGCAAAATATTGCAAATGTTGTAATAATATTGGAGAAACATCGCAAATATTGCAGCAATATTGCTGCAAACTTCTGTGTTGCATGGGAAGTTGCTTTCTCTTAAACGCAACCATTCTTTCTTTAAGAATGAGAGAATGGGAAAGAAAGGAGGTCAAAATTTTATCTAACAATAAGATAAAATTTATTCTACTTTTTAACAATAAACATCAAGTTTCACCGTTTCACGCGCGCATTGACTGCGTACAATCAGATTTAATTGTAGTAAAAACTGTCAAGTTGCCACAGGTCAATCACAGAGCCGTATTAGCATCTTAAAAGACATTACTTAAAACGCTCTTAACTTGATTTCTGCATGTGGAACTATGTTAAAAAAATTTTTTTAATTTAATTCAAGGGCACCTTAATAAGTAATTCGTATTAAAAAATTCACTTTTTTCCAAATTTTGACTATTTTCCCAACAAATACATTATATGTACATCTGATTTTAAATATCAATAGAACTAAATAATTTCAATGGATATATTCAAATTTGATGTATAATAGATTACAATGTACATAGAGTCCGAAGGGGTTAAATCGAGAAGAAACGTTGAATAAGTGCCTATAGGTGAAATCAGTGAAATGCGGCTACGACTCAGGGTGCCGGGTCTCTAATCGCGTTCCTGGGACCATCGTTCTATCGACCGAGTACGGAGGATCGTTCTCGAGTGCGTCGGACGAGCCGGAGATTCGAAAATCGGATCGGTCCCATCGCTTGCGCGTCCCGGGCCGCGCCGATGCAACGCGTGCGCGTTGGCGTTTGCACGCGCGGAAACGCGGCAACGCCGCGTGTCAAGCGGCGCAACAACGAACCCCTTTTCACGGGTTACTTTTTTTTCCACACTCTCTCTCTCTCTCTCTCTCTCTCTCTCTCTCTCTAGCCGATGGACTCCTATTTGGAAAACTACTTGCCGGAACTTGCGCCATCCGCGAAGCGCAAGCTCGGCCCGGTCAGCTTCGATGCTCTCTCGTTCTCTTTTTTTACATTCTCTCCTTCTATTCATCTCTGTTTCGTCCTCTCTTTCTTTTTCTCCGCCATCGCCCAGTTCGAGTACCGTTTCGAGATTGTTAAGCCTAGAGATTGAAATTGCACCCTCGTGCGCGATGTGCCGCTTCGCCTCGGAATTATCGATAGACTGGCAGACGGTAGACGCGATCGATAAGGTGCGCGACACCCTTCCGATAGGACGTTTAAACCCTTTACGGTCTTGCATCGTGTGACGTGCCAGTCCCCTTGACAATTCTACACGCGTCTTTTTTTTCTTTTTTTGTTTTGTACTTGCGATATACCGGGAAAACGGCGAGTGCCATGTAATTCGCGTGGGAAAAACTTGCGTTTTCCCATTTCTGAAACGTTTCGAACGGCGAGCGGCGAATCGAATATCGCGGCGTATCGTAACGAGAGGATTGACATTTAAAATCAGTACATATAATGTATTTGTTGGGAAAATAGTCAAAATTTGGAAAAAAGTGAATTTTTTAGTACAAATTACTCATTAAGGAGCCCTTGAATTAAATTAAAAAAATTTTTTTAACATAGGGTTTTTAACGAGAAGGTTAACGACCGTGAAAACGAGGAGAGAAAAGCGGAGCCTCTCCGACTTTTGTCTTTGCGTCGTCGCGCCGAAAGAAGAAAACCACGAATGTAATCCTGACGAGAATAAAGTTGGAACTTACCTTATAAGGTGATTACGCTTTTTTTAAGCCTACATCATCACTCGTATTGGACTTTAAAAAAGTTTGAAGCTTTGTTTCCTTAATAATAATCATATTTCTGTACTAAATAAATACTCTTTTATGCGAGAAATTCACTTTTTTTTTCAAAATCTAACATTTATTTCTCATACAAATTTTAGAACGCGAACTTTATACTTTTTCTTTAAAAATGCTATCTCTGTAGAGTACAAATTTTTATGATGAAAAATAATTAAAAATGAAAAAAGTTGTATTTTGAGTAAAAGATTTATTTTTGAAATTTTTACTTTTACAATTTTTTAATTGTTAAAATTAACTTTTTCAAAGCTGCTATATTTTTATTTTCTACAATGTTTAAAAAATATAATATATTCAATAACTTTCTTCAGTTCGAAGAACGATAACCGTGAATATACGGCAACCAATTAAATGCATTGGGTTCATTTTGCTCCAAGAGATTATGAAGGATTAAGTTTCGTATAGATAGGGAAAAAAATCACGAAACATATTTGAACAATTTGATTTTACAGTGAGAAAAAAATGGTTCGTTTAATTAAATTAATTTAGTTATCTTTATTTCTTTTGTTAAAGAATGTATGTATTCAAATCAAACATATATTTCATTTCAACATATACATTCTTCAATAAATAAGAATAAAGACAGCTAAATTAATTTAGTCAAATGAACACTTTTTTTCAATGCATGATCAATGCAATTGATTAATTCTTCCTTCATCCGAGATCTCGAATCGATCTTTCCACATTGTGGACACAAGGATGTATGTTTTATTGTCTCAGTTTCTATCTTTTAGAAGCTTATGTTGTAAAGCCCATTATACAATTCTATTATACAATTTCGTAAGCAAAGACTAAGAAAAATGTTCTGGTTAAACCAACAAAAGATCCAATCAGAATGGTACATTGGTTATCAAATTGATACAACCAGAAATTCTATTTTGCCTCATCATTCCGATGGACCTTTTTAACCAGAACATTTTTCTTTGTGTAAGTAATTGGAATTGTAAGAATTAACTAATCACAGAGAGAGAGTCAAGTATGAGAAGAATATTCGACTCTCTCTCTGTGATTGATCAATTCTTACACCTACAACCATTTACAACTACGCTTATGCAACTGAATAGAATGGGTTTTATTCTCCCCTTACATTCGACTTACACTCCGATTTTTATTTCCGGGGAATTCACGATTATTTTTTATGTCGCGTTTTGTGGGGGGGTCAACAATGGGGTGACACAAGGGTGACAATTTGGGGTAAACTGTGACGTCGGATAATTTAGGGCTGCCGTACACAAAATTTCTATAACAAAGTAACCTTAAGACGTGAACTTAAGCCAATCAGAATATTGCTTTAGATTTATGTATTCTAACAGAAATAGAAATAGCAGTAAACTTATCCATAAGGCGAGTTTCAACTGGTT